ATATATATATATATATATATATATATATATATATATATATATATATATATATATATATATATATATATATATATATATATATATATATATATATATATATATATATATATATATATATATATATATATATATATATATATATATATATATATATATATATATATATATATATATATATATATATATATATATATATATATATATATATATATATATATATATATATATATATATATATATATATATATATATATATATATATATATATATATATATATATATATTATTCTACTATATATGAAGTGAAGTAACTAGTCCTCATGTTGTAGTTATGCTATTAAAATCATGAAAATTTGGATATTTACTATGATTGAATGTCTAATGAGATGAAATAATTTAGAGGACTAACACCCTATATGATTAAACAACTTATTTCCGTGTTTATCATATAATTGCTTATATTATAAGTCATTTATATGAAACAAAGAAGAAGAGGCAATAAGTTACTACCTTTGAATTGTGGATGTCAACAAAGCTTCTTAGCAATAATACTTTTCCCAGAACCACACAAACTAGTCAAATAATGATCTACACCATAAAAGAAATAGAATCCGACATGTATCGAGTATCAAAAATTTACACAGACAAATCAATTCAATATCAACTTCATAAAATTATGCCAGCAAGAATCACGATACAAACAATTTCTCTATTAGCTTGCTCTTAGCCATGTTAATGCACTCTAACAAATAAAAACACTTCCCAAATTGATTTTACACAAAAACATTGAGCATTTTAGTTTATCATGATTTTAGTAAAACTCAGATTCAAGAAAGAACCTACCATGAGAAAGGGTCGGTCGGCAGTGGAGGACAACCGAGAGAGACGGTGGAGGACAGAGGGAAAGGGCTGGTCGGACGAAGGACGGCAGATGGAGTTTGGACGATGACGGAAGGAGCTTGGACAGTGACGAGTTTGTGAGAGGGAAATGGTTTTCGTTCGTAAGGCCTGAGAGGGAAACGAGTTTGTGAAAATATAAACAGTAGGGTATTCTATTTTTTAATTTAAATTTATATGACTTTGACAGCGCTTTTTAGAAGCGCTGGCTAATATGGGCCTTTAGTAGCGCTTTTGAAAAGCGCTGGCTAATGTGGTCCTTTAGCAGCGCTTTTGAGAATTTTTTAAATTTTATATGACTTTAGACAACGCTTTTCAAAAGCGCTGTCTAAAGTGGTCCTTTAACAGCACTTTTGATAAAGCGCTTTCTAAAGAAACACTTTTAGCAGCGCTTTTTAAAAGCGTTGTCTAAAGTCACATTTTTAGCATCACTTTTATTTATTATTGTATACAGTTTCTGTGTTTTTTTTAAATTCACTTATAGCAACTCTTTTGTATAAAAGCGTAGTCTAATGTACGTTGTTAAAAGCCCTTTTTGGCGTAGTGATCCCAACTAGCTTCTTGGAGGTTATCAACATTGTTCTACCAGAACAGTTGGCGCCCACTTGTAGCGGTGAAATTTTAAGACTAAGTTATTGATTGACTTAACTCGCAAAGTGAGAGTCGCCACCACACTTTATTTTTAATCAAAAGAAAGGGAAAAGAGCGAATAAAACCCGAAGTGAGAAAGAGATCTAGATAAGGGGTTGGTTATGCAAAGGGAAGATATTAGCACTCTAAATATCAACGATACTCCGTAGAAACCTCTTTAAAAATCTGTGTATTTTGGATATAAAGACATATGTACAAAATAGATTGTGGAGATGAGAAAAGAAGTATATTTTACAATTTTTGATTTGATAAAGCTTCCAATGAGCTCTAGGTCTACATACCAACAATGTGCAATGTTGAAATCAAAACCCATGTAGTTCAGGTAAAAAAGACCAAAATTGATTTGTTATGCTTGATTTTAATGTAAAAGATGTTTCATCTTATCTGAGTGGAAAACCAATAAAAACTATGACAATCATGGTAAAAAGAGAACTCGCTCCATCTTAAATATGGAGAACTTATAGCATGGACCAAATCAACAATGCAAGTCTCAACATATAAGTGGAACTTCAATATTACCATGTTTGTTAAAGTGGAGAGGTTTACAAATGCTCAAAGAAAAGACTTATGTCTTAAACTTTTTGAAAAGGTTAAAAGAAAAAAATGCACTAAGATACAAAAAGTTTGAATGAGGTTAATGAATTTTAATCTTTCAAAAAAATATATTAAAATATGATTAAATTGATTAAGGTTCGATTAAGAAATAGAATTTTGAAAATGCATGGACCTAAGTCCAAGTTTATTATGAATGCGGTTCAAGTTTGAAAAACAAGAAGAGTTTTGAAATTTAAGAAGATGGGAGGAGATGAAGAGACTATCCTAAGGCATAAAGTAAAAACTAAGGTAAGTAAAGGTCTAACTAACGAGAAGCCAGCACTTGACATAAAGAAGTCAATGTAGAATTTCCATCCTTTGGATTAAGACCAAGCAAGCATATTACCAAACCTCAAATGAATACCAAGCCTCAAATGAATTAAGAACCAAACAAAGTCTTCATTAAAGAAAATTGGCCAGAGTAACAACTGTATACAGAGGAATTCCCAATCACAATGCCTTGGAGTAAACCCCAAGGACTTCAGACAAAGCATAGAGACCAGAATAATCTGCACACAGAGAAAATTCAAACCAATGCCTTGGAGTAAACCCCGAGGACTTCAGACAGAATAACAATAGGGGTACCAGGGTCTCCAAGTATCAAGGCCTCTAATCCTAAGTCCAAGAGATCTAAAACTCCAAAATGCCAAGGATAGTAACAAATAGTCCAACAAGATTCTTAAGTCTTTTAATGTTCAAGTTGAATTATTAATGTTTTAAGCACATGATAAAGGTCCAAGTGGACAAAGGAAAAAAGTTCATAAGCATAAACATATGTTCAAGTGGACAAAGGGAAAATTCAGAATCATAAACAAGTTGCATGAAATGTAAATTCTAAAAGTAAATGACATAAATTAAAAGCGATAAATAAAGTGCAGAAATTAAAGTGGCATAAAGTAAAGGTTAATGTTAGAGTTAGTTTTTTATTCGGGACAAATGTAGCACTATCTTAAGCAATCATAAGTGGACTTATGTAGAAGTCGCACCTATTTTAAGGCCAATAAATAACAATGTATGTACCATACATGTTAGAGACATTGATAAAAATCAAGCTCCTAAAAGATGTAGCACAAGTAAAAACAAAAGGTGATCAAGACCTAAGTCATGGAAGATTCATCATGACAAACTTTCACCAATGTCAAGTACCTTGAATGATTAATGGATCATCTAGAGGTAGGTTGAAAGTGTTGAAAGTTTATCAACTATCCATAAGCTTAGATGAACTTAAAGATTAAATGCCTTATCCAAATTGATCAAAAGAAAAAAATAAAATAAATAAAAGAAATAGGGATGAAGAAGAGATGAATTCCATAATAAATGATCAATGATGATTGAAGATTGAAATTAGATCAAAGTTGATGAAGACTTGTTAGAGGATTGATAAGATCAGAGCCTCCTAACAACAAGTTTTAAGGGTCTTGAATAATAGTCTAATAACAATCATACTTGGGCTTTCAAATGTAAGGTTTGGGCTACTAATGATCACTTGAAGGAAAAAAAGGAGATGGAATTTATAATAAATGATCAACGATGATTGAAGATTGAACTTAGGCCAAGGTTGGTGAAGACTCATTAGAGGATTGATAAAATCAAAGCCTCCTAATAATAAGCTTCAAATGTCTTGAACCATGATTCAATAATCAATCATACTTGGACAATTTCAAGCATAAAGCTTGGGCCACTAATGATCACTTAAAGGAATAAAGAAGGGGATGAGATGAAGGGGAATGAGAATGAGAATGAAGTAAAGATAGATAAAGAGTTAAATCCCACATTTGAGCCAAGAGATTAATCAAGATATCATTAAAATAATTCATCCATTTTGGTGGAGTTAAACTCAACACCCAAGATCCAATGATGTTAATGAAGCTTATGACTAAAATCCCTATGATCCAAGATCAGCCAGAATATATACAAAAAAAAATTGTATTTAATAAGCAAGATATAATGAGAAAATGATTTTTAAAATGAAAAAAAGGAAAAATAGAAAACTATATTCAAAATATCAAAGAAAAATTAAAAGAGACCATAGAAAAGTCAGAAGTGATCTCAAATATTTTTACAAAATTTTTGGTAATTTTTTTAAACAAAAAAGTATTTTTAAACTAATTAAAATCACTCAAATAAGTGAAAAATGATTAAAAATAGCAGAAGACTAAATTAAATTCCATAAAAATTTCACTAATTCAAAAATGAGATAATTGGATTTTGTGAATTTTTCAGAATTTTTAGACGAAAAATGAATTTATTATGAATTTTTTAAAGTAAAGTCAATTTTAAATGAAATTGTTACAATAAAAGTGAAACAAAAAATTGTGTACCATTAGATCTAGTCAACTGATAAAATTATGCAAAATCAATGATCTAGAATGGGGGTACACAATAATAACAAAAACAGTGTGCGCTAAGAATCATTTTTTACATCACATTCTCAGGTGAGGATAAGTGTTGGAGGGACCACTGGTCCTCCATGCAAGGGGCACAAAAACCGAGATAGAGAGAGGAAAGGACAAATTTTCTCTATGCTGTAACGTTACATCATTCAAATTTTTCTCAAATTTTAAAAAAATTGCTCTCTCTCTTTCTCATTACAGCATCATCATCTTTTCTTTTTAAAAACAAATAAAAAAAGAATAGAGAAGAAGAAAAGAACGACAGAGACACAATGAACACAACATAGGTCCAAATCTGTAAACGGAATTTCCAAAGAACCAAGCAATTTCAATAGATCTACAGATGGAGTGTCAAAAATTTTTGTTCAAATACAACAACAATAGTCACAGGCGAAAAATAGAGACTGTATTCGGTTTTGTGAGAGTTTTATCAACCTTTTGAGCAGAGAAAAGAGGAAACGACTGATGGAATGTTCTCAGGTGTGGTGGGAGACTCTCAGGCGAGGTGGTTTTCGGTTGAATGAGGTTTTTCAGCGGATGCAAAGGTATCTCTGGCGACGGCTAGCTCAGGTGAGTTGGTTTTTGTTTTTCAGTCCTTTTGTTATGAGTTTGTCACTGAATGAATCTGCCTTTGAATCAGTGAAATTAATGTTTATATACTGTGTAGAACTTAAGGTTTAATAGAATAAATTTGGAATAAGATTGGGTTGAAAAATTATTTTGATGAGATGGTGATTTTTCTCCTACAGGCCCACTCTGAAAATCCTCTCATTAGGTCCAAAATCTTTTTTTTTGACAAAGTGTTGTTTATTCACAAAGGGGGTGTATTGAAAAGAGCTTGGATAAATATTTTGTTGTTTTTTGAATGAACTTTGTTTTAAAAAAATGAAATGAAACTCTTGGTGAAATTGTTGTTATTGGCTTATTGATTTCTTGTTGAAGAATTGTTTTGAGGAATTATTTTGAATAAGCATGATAATTCAAAGTGTTATTGAATCTTTGGCCCTTGGTTATGAACATATTAATCACTTGTATAGAAATTGGAAGAAAATAAGCTAACTAGTTTTTTCTTCATTTTTTATGTCATGGCGATGTTGCTTGGATCTTGAAGAAGATGGTGAGACTTTGCTTGAAGTTTGGAAGGAGCTTATCAATTGGATGCAATTTGAAGATGGAGAAATCTTGGAGGATTAGAAATGGACAACAAATTTGAAATTTGAAGACCTTGTAAATCTCACTTGGATTTAGAAAACTTTGTATCTTTGTAAATGAAACTTCTTCTTGTAAATGTTGACAAAATAGTGATTTAGTTTGAACTTGAAGCTTTGTAACATTGATGACATTTGATTTTTGAGGATGATTTGTGAAATTTTAGACTTGGTAATTGTGATCGGTGGGAATGAGAACTGACTGTTTTGGAATGCTGGTTCGCGTTTGCTTTTGTTTTCACAAAATGTCGCGGTAAGCAAGAGTCGCCACCGTCTTTTATTTTATCCAACAAGGAAAGGACAAAAGCACAGAAAAATTCCTTTTCGAGATGTTTCTCGGGTTCGGGAGGTAGATTATAGAAAGGGAAGGTGTTAGCACCCTTTCTATCCGTGGTTATCCACGGGCTCTTAGGTACTTGCTCACTATGTTTTCAAAAGTTTGCTTTTCTTTGTGTTTGTGGGTTTTGAAAAGAGTTTTGTTTTTGAAGAGAGTGTAAGTGCGAAAAGTTTTGTTTTGTTTTTAAAAGGAGCAAGTACTTAAGAACCTATACCTACTCAAAAAGGAATTAAAATGTGCAAATGTCCTTTAGACAGTGCTATCCCACTATTGAGGAGTGGGTAGCATCGTCGTTGGAGTTTTCGGGTCAATTCGATTTAAGGGACGTGTGGTCACTAAAGCAATGTTAGGACGCCTTAGTGGTAACCCTAATGTCTTAGATCATTTTATCGAGGCAACCGTTTCGAGGCAACTTTGATCTTTGGACAGGAGGGAGACCTCTAAAACATCCTATACTCAATGACCACGTTCGAGGCAACCAAGTGAGGCGTACCCTAAGAGTGACATGTGCGAGTGTGTCAATTTTCAGTTTATATTATCTTTGTACATGTTATGGTGAGCTATGGTTGATTTAAAGGTTAATCTTGTCATGCAATCCTAGTTAGCATACATCTAAACAGTTAATATATGTACAGGAATTTAAAGTGCGGGAATTGTAAATCCTATGCTATTACAAGGCTTCGGGGAGGGGGATTATTTACATGTCCAAAATTGGGGGAATAAAGCAGTAAAGTGTAAAAGTCTTAGTTAAGCTATTACAAACCGGTAGGCAATTACAATAAAATAAACGCGCGCGAATCTGAAAATAACCTCTAAAAATCCTAAGAATAAAATCTTTTTGTTGTTTTTTATATAAAAGAACATAAGGCCTAAGTCAATTAATTTTTTTTATTTTAAGAAAAATGTTAAAATAATTAATTAATTTATTTAAGAAATAAATATAGTTGGAAAAACAACTAGCCTAATGTTTTTGTGATTTTTTTTTAATTTTAATGTTAATTAAAAAGATAAAAAGATGTCAATGAAAACAAAAATAAAATACAAGGGGAATCCTTCGATCCAGGGAAAAAAGGAGCTTAGAGCCAAGGAGGGAATGGAAGCTTCGATCCAAACAGGGTCATGGTTCTTTCGATTGGACCAGGAAGTGGGCATGAACAGCCTTAGATCCAGGGAAGGGGATTTCCCTTCGATCCTGGGAAAAATGCCTTCTTCGATCCAGGAGGACTATGGGAAGCTTCGATCCAGAGAAGGTGTCTCCTTCGATCTGGGATGCTATACCTGCAAAAGTATGTTAGCAAAATAAAACTCAGGGCCTGGTATCGAACCCCAGGCCCTTCGATCCTGCGTACGCTGAGTCTTTTCAGGCTAAATCTGCAGCAAATGTTAGCAAATGAAGAACATGACCTGGGGCCAAACCCAAGCCCTTGAATTCTGTCTAGGATGGCAAATCGAATGAGATAGAAAATATGGAGGTGTTATGCAAAATGAAAAGTTTTGATAATTTACCCTCTCTTACAAGCAGATTGAATCTTCGATTTGGGTACTGGCTGGATGGGAGCACTTTCAATCTGTGGGCTTCTGGGCATGGCCACCTTCGATCTGAAGGACTGCTTAGGCTTGGAAAATTCTGACAACCTTTGATGGATTGTATGGGCAGTGCCTCTCCAATGTTTTTTTGTTCTCCTTTTCTTTTCTGTTCTCTGTTTTTTCTGTTCTCTGTTTTTTGTGTTTTTTCGTCCTTGGCACTGTATGCTGGCCCTTATATTTATAGGAGTGTGAGGGTGCATGAAAATGGCAAGGTACAGCCATTTAACCAGGCCATTAAAGCCATGAGACAAGAATCAGACACATTACAATATTTCCTTTTTTGAAACATTCGTGTCTCTTTGGAATCTGGAATGAATCTGGACACTTTTGATTTTCGAATGCCTTCAGGCCATGCTCTTCGATTGGTCTTGAGTTGCCTCCTTTGAATGGACTTCTTCTGCTTCGACTGCTTGATTTGAAAAGAATCACTCTGGTCGAATCAGCTCTTTAGGAACAGAAAAGGCAAGAATCTGGCCTTTAACTCAGGAATTAAATCCATAATCAGCATTTAATTATTTCTACATTTGCAAGGGAAACATGCCATTTTCTCATGTTCAGTGTACCTGAACATGTTTTTTGAGTGCCCTCTTGATGGCCTCTTTCAAATGGCCTGGAAGGAGTTCTTCAAATGGCCCTGGTCCAAATATCAATTGAAGGGTACTAATTAAAATTCCAATCGAAAGGCTTTGTTAACAGGCCAATCGAAAGGTGCTGTTCATGCTAATCGAAGGACATGGTTAACATGCCTGTCGAAGTTGCCTTGACACAATGCTAAATCAAAGGATCCCTTGGCATGCCAATTGAAAGGCTTGGCCCAGGGTGCCAAACGAAAGACTCATTCAGAATACCAATCGAAGGGTCTTTCAGAATTCCAATCGAAGTGCTTGTCCATAATGCCAATCGAAAGGCTCCTTCAGAATACCAATCGAAGGGTATTTCAGAATGCCAATCGAAGTGCTTGTCCATAATTCCAATCAAAATGCTCCTTCAGAATACCAATCGAAGGGTCTTTCAGAATGCCAATCGAAGTTCTTTTCCATAATGCCAATCGAAATGCTCCTTCAGAATACCAATCGAAGGATCTTTCAGAATGCCAATCTAAAGGTACTTAAAGCACCACTCAAAAATTTTATTTTTCCTTAGGCAAGAGTTTGTGATCAACCATGCAGGGGGGAGACTTTGGAAAACATGAGAGGGCAAATTTTGGGGTACAACAGTTGCCCCTGTTCAATTTTCTTAAACCTGAGGATATAGATTGGCTTTCGAGCCTTTTGTGATCCGAAGGTGGAAGATAATTGAACACTAGAGTGCCCAGAAATTTGCACTCGCATGGTGTAGTATCAACATTGTGATGTCGGGAATGGGCTTACAGATGCCATTTGGAGATTGTTGGTAGGAGGATGGGATTAAAGATGCCATCCAGAAATGATTGTTGGACTATATTTGAATGAGTGAAAGAATTACATCCAAATCTGGATCGTATCTGGACTGTTATTTGAAGGTCTCTGATTGCCTGTCATTAACTGGAAGAAATAAATCTAACCAGAGGAGGTCTTTTTTGATGATGATGTGTGATGAAGGAATCTGGGACGATTGCTACTCCAAACAGATGATGAAGTAATCTTGGATGATTACTACCTCAGCAGGATGATGAAGGAATCTTGGATGACTTCTACCTCAGCAGGATGATGAAGGAATCTTGGATGACTTCTACAACAGCAGGATGATGAAGGAATCTTGGATGACTTCTACCTCAGCAGGATGATGAAGGAATCTTGGACGATTACTACCTCAGCAGGATGATGAAGGAATCTTGGACGATTACTACCTCAGCAGGATGATGAAGGAATCTTGAACGATTACTACCTCAGCAGGATGATGAAGGAATCTTGGATGACTTCTACCTCAGCAGGATGATGAAGGAATCTTGGACGATTACTACCTCAACGGGATGATGAAGGAATCTTGGATGACTACTACCTCAGCAGGATGATGAAGGAATCTTGGACGATTACTACCTCAGCAGGATGGTGAAGGAATCTTGGATGACTACTACCTCAGCAGGATGATGAAGGAATCTTGGATGACTTCTACCTCAGCAGGATGGTAAAGGAATCTTGGATGATTACTACCTCAACAGGATGATGAAGGAATCTTGGACGATTACTACCTCAGCAGGATGGTGAAGGAATCTTGGACGATTACTACCTCAGCAGGATGGTGAAGGAATCTTGGATGACTTCTACCTCAGCAGGATGGTGAAGGAATCTTGGACGATTACTACCTCAACGGGATGATGAAGGAATCTTGGACGATTACTACCTCAGCAGGATGGTGAAGGAATCTTGGACGATTACTACCTCAGCAGGATGGTGAAGGAATCTTGGACGATTACTACCTCAACGGGATGATGAAGGAATCTTGGACGATTACTACCTCAGCAGGATGGTGAAGGAATCTTGGACGATTACTACCTCAGCAGGATGGTGAAGGAATCTTGGACGATTACTACCTCAACGGGATGGTGAAGGAATCTTGGACGATTACTACCTCAACGGGATGATGAAGGAATCTTGGACGATTACTACCTCAGCAGGATGGTGAAGGAATCTTGGATGATTACTACCTCAGCAGAATGGTGAAGGAATCTTGGACGATTACTACCTCAACGGGATGGTGAAGGAATCTTGGACGATTACTACCTCAACAGGATGATGAAGAAATCTTGGACGATTACTACCTCAGAAGGATGGTGAAGGAATCTTGGACGATTACTACCTCAGCAGGATGGTGAAGGAATCTTGGATGATTACTACCTCAACGGGATGGTGAAGGAATCTTGGACGATTACTACCTCAGCAGGATGGTGAAGGAATCTTGGACGGTTACTACCTCAGCAGGATGATGAAGGAATCTTTGACGACTGCTACTCCAAAAGGTAATGAATTTTATCTGTTGATCGATCTTTCCTGAAATGGTAAAGAGTTAGTTGTATGCAATGTCATGATGTATGCATTGTGTAATGATGTTCTCAAAATAAATGAGATTCATGTTATATGTATTTTGTATACATATGCTATG